GCAACGTAAGTAACGGGATAAGAACAGCAAGAAACAAAACAAGAACAGCGGCTGCACAACGCAAAAAAAAGACAAGAACAACGGCCGTGCAACGCAAGAAACGGGACAAGAACAGCGGCGGCGCAACGCGAGAACGGGACTAGAACAGCGACGGCGCAACGCGAGAAAAGCGACATGAACAGCGACCGAGCAACGCGAGAATTTGGGACAAGAACGGCGGCGGTGCAACGCGAGAACGGGACGAGAACAGCGACCGAGCAACGCGAGAACGGGACAAGAACGGCGGCGGCGCGACACGAAAACGAGAAAAGAACAGCGGCGCGCAACGCGAAAAACGGGACAAGAACAGCGGCGGCGCAACGCGAGAACGGGACAAGAACAGCGCCGTGCAGTACGAAAACGGGACATGAACAGCGGCGGCGCAACGCGAGAAACGGGACCATAACAGCGCGAGCTACAGGACAAGAACAGCAGCTGAGTATCAAGGTGCGCCGGCAGTCGTGTAGTCCCGGGCAGAAGCAGCAACAGCCTTGGCACCATCAGGTCGCCCATTATAAACCGTGCATGCAGAGACGACCTCCCTCACCCAGCGACGTCTGCTTCATTTGAGCCTCGGTACTCTAGACAGCGCTTGAATTGAACTCTGTACCTTGCCTCATGCACGGTAGCTTTTTATGGACCTTTTATTCCGTAACACGGATAAGGTCACACTGCAACAAGGTGCAGAAATTTCAGACTAATACTCGGTAAATTTATTTGAGTTATGAATTAATTGAAACTGGAAATATGTACCTATACCTTCAGTTGCAGTAAATTAAAACTACGTTCCAAATGCCATATATCGAATTCGAATTTGCCATCGAAATGTTGCGAAAATAAGGAATAGGCCTCAAGACGTAACTTGGCATGATATCAGGCTCCGATAATTTTGCAACTCGTGCGTTTAGTTGATTCGCCTAGGCAACCTACAGGGTCTTTAACCATGAAGTTTTCATTTAATAAAATCGATAAAATTAAACCTACATCGGTACAACTAAGCGCTTTTATTAAACTCTGATAATAACTACTACCATACACTTTGTTATTAGTTCGAATGTTCTCATTTAAGAAACTTCCTGCAAGATTTTACCAAAAAATATTAACATTCACAGTTAAATAATTGCACATTAAACCATAACATATTTCTCTGCTGCTAGAATCAAACAGCAAATTCTAAATCGTAAACCAAACGAACGGAATCAATCTTGAAATGGTAGATTTTTTTCTCGTATCAATCCTTCAACTTAAGATTAGTTCATTTAACAAAAAAATTAGGTCCAGCTGAAGCATGGGAGCTACAGTTGTCAACGTTGGTCGGCAGATTTCGAAACCCCGTAAGGATCCATTAGATGATACTTTCTTATCTCTGCACCAGACGTAACTAATGTAACGACATCACAGCTCGCGCTCCCCCGCCAACCGACATAACATCGGCGCCCTTACGAGCACCAGCAGATAATGCCGAGATGTCTGCCCCAACATTCCGTAATCCTAAAAAACTAAGAACACATTCTGCCGAACGATTATCCTGATACTACTCAAGCATGTTTCTCAACAATTGATAAATCATTCATTCTGTTTGATGAATGTGCTGAAATGCCACGACAATTCTCCATCGCATTCATTATGATGAAAGAATGTTTACATTAGTTTAGGTTTCCCAATACAAATTAATTAACTATTCTCTATAATTGCAAGAGACGCATAATAATTAAAATTATATATGTATCCTATTATGAGATGAAAACGCGGACGCGATTAGTACGGTCGCCAAGGTACGGACGGAGTGGCCGGGCAGCGGAGTTCTGTTGGTCACAGAAAGATAGCGCAGATAGCGCGTTGTTTTGGCGGCACTTAGCGCTAATAGCGCCTGATGGAGTCGCTATCACCAGCGCCGTCACACTCAACCTTGGTACATCGTAAAGTGCTAGCGCTCAATTCTTAGACAAAACAACAAAAATGACAACTCATAAGTATCCTACATGAACATTTGTAACAGAATGTCGTATAAGCGGTTTCTTGCAACGTAAATATTGAAAGTACGTTTGATTAGAAGTTGTTTGTTAATCATGACGCAAATTATTTATGAAAACTTTGCAATACCAAGTTCAAACTCGAGACAAATTGAAAAGTCGCGCGAGGTTGAAGAAACTGAAGCTAATACCGAGCAGAATACCAGAAATGAGATGCATATTACCAATCATAATGAAAATTTTTCAGTGCTTTCAGGTAAAACCATACCTACATACTTTGGGACAATTTCAGGGAACATTCTGACGAAAAAATGGGCGCGATGGAAAACATTTAATATGCAAAACGGATCTCAAGAGATAATTAATTCAACTTAACGAAGCTTCTAAAGTTTTGCTTCGATCTTAAACATTTGTTACAATTTTTCACGCTGAAACCCACAACAATTCGGCGGTAATTAATGAGCGATCCTCCAACTCATATTGTGGAAACACTGCAGCTGATCGCAGGGATAGTAACAAGTTTCACGTTCATAGCCGTATTACAATTTACAAGCACTAATTTAATACTTAACGGATCATCGATTCATGATTAAATACTTCGATTGCGGTTGTTGGAGACGCATCAATACAGGCGCATGTTTAGCCTTATCACAGCTCTGGAGCACCAGCCAATTCCAGAAAGCCACAGTTTGACCTTGATAAGCAGCAGATAAGAGGATGAATCGTCGATACTGGCAGCTGATCGAACTCAAATAAATTAAACTTTAATACACCACGATTAAAGCGAAAAAATATGTCTAACCGTCACTAGAGGTGACGGTTAGAAATATTTCTAACCGTTACCTCTAGTAACGGTTAGACATATTTTTTCGCTTTAATCGTGGCGTATTAACCGTCAATTACCAATCAAGGGTGCCAGCAGTTGGTAGCACAACTGAAACTGTTGACAACGTTATCACACCTATGCATTCCATTTAGTGCTAGGACTAGTAAGAACAAAGCGGCTAAGAACTATATAAATTATATCGCTAACGCATTCAGATAACGGCGGCCACATTCCTAAAATTTCTACGGATGATCGACAAGTCATACAATAAACGTTACTTAGTCTCACGCGTCTATGTCGGGTATTAACATAATCGCATGTACACCATTAAAAATATTTGTGGTATATACACGATATTTCCAGGCTCATACACCACAACTATGCATTTTTCCTGTGGAATGTTGGTAACTTGTAGGACTTCCGAGCATCGTTACGAGCCTTTGAACAAACGGTTAACTAAGCCTCCAGAGAGCTTACATTGTGCAATTGAAACTTAATAGTCCAAGAATAAACCACGCAGAATAATCGAAAGGGCAATTTTTTCCGGCTGAAAATTGCTTGACTATTCCATAAGAAAATGTAAAAATTCTTTTTATAGCATTCAACTGTTTTTTTTTTTTATTGCTTAGTGTTTTTTTCTCGTCGATTGTTATTTATCTGAGTTAGACGCTTTTTAATATAGAGCGTTAATTGAAAAATTATACAGTAATTACTCATACCAATAAAAATTCTACTCACGAGAATAAGAGTCTCATACGCAGCCAAGTTACCTGCAGCCTAACGAGAAGCACCGCAGTTTACAGGTGGAGATAAAGTTAATTAGCATGCAGGTGATCATATATAATATATCAGATCCTTCTTTCTTCAGAAATATTGGGATAAATTTAGGCGAGATGCATCTAAGATTATCTCAATTTTTCGAGTTATATTTTAACAAGCAGTAAAGTTGCCAAAACATTTGTTTCACTTTGGCAAATATATATCTGAAAGAACCTGTGGTTCTATAAATTCTAGATTCTAAACTGGGAAGTGGCTACCGGCAAGTGTCAAATCTCATTGTTCCAGCATGAAATCAATCTTCTACGATAAATTACACTTGAATTTTAATCAGATTTTATAATCTGCGTCTATTAAGTTAAACACATCACCGCCATAGAACACTCTAATCAGTTAAAAATAGTATTAATAAAATAATCGAAAATAGGCAGAAAAGTTTTTAGTAAACCGTGACTTGTCGTTTTAAATGTTAGTAGGGTGTTTGGCCTAGCAGGCATCCTCTTGTGGGCAAACGTCGCGTCGGACGACGGACGGAGGCACAAGATAGTTAGTTCATCGCACGTCTGCTCGTTGCTACGCGTGCCGCAATAAAAAGCACAACTCATAAGTCTTATTATAAAAAAATATAACTCAGTACTCACTGTAGTGACTAGTGAGTGACAGAGAGCGCATTTTCTCGTCGACGAAAACGTGAAGTCATGGACGGATAGACAGACGGACGGACAGGGCGAGCACAATAGCGCTTTCTTTCCATAAATGATAAAATGCGCTAAAAATCAAGATGGTCGCCCAGATTAGGTTCTCTAATGAATTATCTAATCATGATTCGTATCAACTCGTATGATTTTTTTCTCGGCTACATAAATGTTCTAAGTGGTTAAAAGCGTTATTAGGAAAGATTAATGTCATCATTGAATTGCTTATTCCAGAGCGCTCACAACAGTTATTGTGGAAATAAGAATTCATTTAAATAGATTACCTATGGTTTTAGCAAAGCTTCCATTCTATTTTAATGAATTTAATCGAATGTAAGTAGCTAGGTAGATATCACGTAGGACGTAGGTAGCCAGTAGCCACCAGCAATTCTTCACGAATATTGTTTACAATTAAATAAATTAAAACACCTCATTGCTCTTTAATCAGTGTAAATGAAAGGAAAATCATTCGGGATTAGAACGATTCAACTTCAATCAGAGCACGCACCCGGGCCACAGTAGCGGTGCTACTAACTGACACTAACAGCAGTGACCTAACCAGCTCTTACAGAAGTTAACAGAACAGTTAAAACTCCGCCAGTTATTGACAAGACACCTGTAGTACAGCTAGGCCACGGTTCAGAGGGAGCAAAGTTCTACGTAGGTTGAATATGAAATGGCTTTACTTACGTCAAACGTGGTTGTGTCGAGTATCGTCAGATTATGAGAGTCTGTCTTGAATTGCACGTGCTTCAGAACGACCATTCACTCATGCCAAGTTTATTCGAAATATTTTTAGGAAATAACAGATGATTATAGACGAGGATATTAGTAATGATCACGTTCTAGTACAAATTAGGGACATTATACGTATCTAACAAGATAGGCTCGGTTTGACACACTAAATCACGAGAAAGCGCGACGCACCTCCACTCGCTACTGCTGTTTGCAGCACACTGAGCATTTTATTTGTTTGAGTCAGCCCAGCAAGGAACTTCAAAGGGACCGCCATTAAGATAGAGCCAGGTGGAGAGGGGCAAGGTCAGCAGGGGCTAATATACGAATTATTTGATTCATTTCTCATTAGCATTTTTTGGGAGCAAAACATTGGAGTTTTTATCGATAAGGTGCTATTAGAAACTGGAAAAGATGAACATGCGTTCACAGGCTTGTGACCGGGTGACCGGGTCCTAGTGATATGTGTCTTGGTTGCTGGGAATTTGAAACTTTTAGCCCAACTAATGCATGATATATTTGTGAGAAAAATTTATATGACTATTCTTACCTCGCATTCGTATAAACGAACAACGCATAAGGGTACGGTTTCGTTCCGGGATAAATCGACTAGAATTTTGAATTACATAAAAGGCACAATTTTAAATCTATTTTTTAGACACTTCCGGTGACGGCTGAGCGTGCAGGTTCATCCGGTGCACATACACGACTGACCTTCCTTTCTAGATGGCGTCTAAATTGTACCAATGCATGTATAAAACCTGTATTATTAATATTTTATTATTTTTATATGAGTAATACTTTTGATTTCGGTCAATCCAGTGCATTAGATCAACCATTATTTTTGTCGTGTTGCCGATAGAGACGGTCAATGAGGTGCGTTCTGATAAAGCAGTTTATCATTGGAAACGTCTTAAATGAGGGAAATAATGTAATATTTTACATTTAAAATTAAACTGGCAAAATCAAGTGCACATTCTAAGTTAAAAAGATTACCGTTGCAGAATGGGTCATGCAAATGAATTCGGAACTTGACACTTATCCCTCTCGAAACATTACTCAAGGAATTCAGTGAACCGCTTCAAAATTAGATGTTTCTAACTGCCCATTGAACGTTCCTTTGTTCGTGGACGATAACTATTTGCAAGTCGAAATTTTTGCTATTTCTTAACGAGGCGCACGACACTTCAAATGTCACTCCTTGTTTGTGATGCGAAATATCATGGGGATACATCAACTATCTATAAAATTATCATTCCGAGTTTCTTGGATTTTATCTAGGGTGGAAAGCTTCAAAAAATATAACTCAGTACTCACTGCAGTGAGTGACAGAGCGCATTTTCTCGTCGACGAAAACTTGAGGTCACGGACAGACAGACGGACAGACAGACAGACGGACAGACAGACAGACAGACAGACAGACAGACAGACAGACAGACAGACAGACAGACGGACGGACGGACATGGCAAGCACAATAGTGCATTTTTTCCATAAATGAGAAAATGCGCTAAAAAGCTCATATTAAGAATGCATTGGTGGAACTGACTCGTATCAGACAGTGCAGATAATCTGCAGATCGGCAAACATAGCTTGTTTGCTGACTGCTGAACCGTCGGATGGCGACCGAGAACCTATCAAAGAAAGGGATATTTTCCCTGTAGAGTACAATTCACCAATTTTATGGGTCGACTTCGGTCTGATCACTTCAGTACCTACTAACGTGTTAGTTAGTCTATGTGACTTATTTTCTGCTTATGAAACTATACATTTTGTGTTTCTACTATACACCTTATCCTCCATGCAAAAGTTGAAAACGATAAAACAGTTTCGTTTTATCGTTTTATTTAAAAGCGAAACTACGTAAACTCTATAATAATTCCTCCATGGCCGCATTGGTAATAATTATAATTAGTTTAATTCTAAATTTCAAGCCAATCCGTTCATATTTGGAGGAGTAACGATTGGGATTAAGTAGAGTTGGGCGTTTGATTTCGTTGGCGAGATCACGGATTTGACAGGGAAGTAGTGATTCGGTCAAAAACGAAGCATTTATTCCCATGGCTCTGTGAACTTACGCGACATTAACATAGATTAGAATAGAGAGTATTCGGGCATCGTTGTTCATCACATCAAATAGCCAGAAGAAAAAATAAATTTCAGGTTTGGTAGGAACAAAACCAATTAGTATAGATTTATTAAATATAAAAAGAGCATTCAATAGCTTCACCAGCGTCAGCAAGAGAGCATCAGCAGCATCGGTAACAACAGCAACATCAGCAGGATGCAGCTTTGGAAGCCTGACATCAAAAGGTGCGCTCCCGAGCGGTCAAAAACTCGCGCGTTCAAAGCCTGTGACTTCAAAGCTTGCCGCACCTGACCAATGCCTTCATCCCTCTCTCCCCAACGCGGCCGCATACCGCCCGCCTCTTCAGCTCCACCCACACTTGTTTCGTTAATCTCAACAGCTTTATGAATGATGGACCTTTTTATTGAATGATTATATCTCGGCTAAGCTAACTCGTTTAATTTTTTGATGTTTACTTTTTAATAGCCCACGTTTCTTGAGATGGTGGAACACCCCTTGGTCCATGTGACTTTCTCAGCTCGGGGCTGGTACTTCATTCTTAACAGATTCTTCGTCATCGAAAGCTCACGGATGATTGGAAATTCCGGCCTCATGTTTGGGCGTGGATCGAATAAAAAAAAATTTTAGAGATATTTGTTGATTGCAAATTTTTGGTTCTGCGTCATTATTCTTCCTGTGTGGTCAGTGGACAACAGGTATTATGAATGAATCGTTGTTATGTTTTCTTGCAGATACGACAGCCGCCATTGCTCCCACTTAGATAGAAAATCTCGAAGAGGCTACTCCTACCTATATACGACCATTTCGTGCCTACCTTCATAACGAGATGCTTACACCTCTCACGTTCGAAGTCTATGCAAGGATGATTGTAAATCCTCTGTGGTGATCAATCAACAACGGGTGAGTGGGATGCTCTGGACAGATCTTTGCATAAAATCTATTCTCACGCATTAAATATTTATTTTAGAAGAATTCAGCTGCCACATTAAATTAATTTTGATTGAGCTGTTTATAATTTTAGATGCGTCCAGAGATAACTGCGAACTCGCATTCGGAGTTTCAGATTAAGAGGAATAAGCTAAACCTGAGCAATATAATAGGTTAATACTTACGACAACGCATATACTTATGACATGCCCATCGTAAATATAGTTTGTCGATCATCTAATTAATAATAAGGCTTTATACTATAGTCAAACAAGAGATGACATAAAACTGGAGTTAACCATCAAAGTAAAATTTCGATTTAGAGAAGTCTTTGTTTTAGAGTATCGGGGGTTCTGTGTCCTTGAAAGAAAAATTTCATAAACTGTAACATTTTCTGTCTTCTTTCTAGTCCCCTAGACAGGGTGAGTTGTGAGTGAGGCTCGATGGTGAACATTTTATAGCCTTCTTGGCAAGAGACAGTTCTCAAAAGTAAGGGTTTAATACACTTCATTGCATATATCTGTAATTAACCATAAATTAAAGAAGTATATACACTCATGCCGAATTTTTCTAATTAATTTGACTCTGTGTTTGCTCAGATTTTTTAATAGTTCTCGTGTAAAGTCAGTAACTGAAATGTATTCTCAGGCATACGCATGAAACCAAAAATCGAATGATAAATGGAACGACAGTTATCATATAGCTGAGTAAATGTAATAACAAAGATTGTAAAAGTATTCATTTGCTTACGGAGACGGCGAATGAATGCAATAATAATAATAACAACTGTGAAGAACGGCTCAACGTATTGCACGCAATTGATAATTGGAGTAAGATAGTGCCCAAAGTAGTCCAGGTTTAGTGAAGCGTTTTCCCTAGTTTGGAAGCAATGATTATCAAACCTACATATGTATATATTACATACTTTGTGAAAGAGACATGCATGTAGCAAACTTAGCGATGGTGCGAAAAATCGATGGGAAAAGTTGAATGGTATTTCCCATCTAAAACATAAAAGCAATTCCATCTCATATTAACAATACCACAGGAAAAACAAATTTACGCAGCAAAATATACGTACACAATATACATGATGAATATATGTCTCATATTAGGTAGTTATGAGATTTTTGCTTGTTTATATATATAGAGCATTATTTTATTTTATATTTGTATTTTATTTTATATGTACAAAGTATCCGAAATAACGTCATCTAGAACGATATACAATTAAAAAAAACGAATTTCTTCCGCCTTCAGACGGTTAAGTCATTATTTGAGAGAAATTGAAGCGTATACATCGTAAATATTTCAAAGTTACGCTAAAGTTTTGTGCAAAATTAATGTCACTCATAAAAAAAGAAGCAGGATAAATCTTTATTGAAATACACCGTGTAGTTTGCGAACACTGAGCACTGATCAGTTTCAAAATTGACAAAAAATGGCAGATGTTTTGTCGAGCTTCATCTATTTTGCTTCTGTAAATCGTGTATCGTCGCTTCAAATTTTGCTGTCTTGCTTGTTCGAGGATCGAATTTCATCCTTGAGGAAATAAAACGTGAAGCGCTCGTCCAGCCCTCAATTTCATACAGAGGACTCGATCACAGCCTGTCTCGATATGGTATTAAAGTGACGCGAAATTGAAAAGTTATTTGTGTTTTTTTCACATTGTTTCGTTATTAAATTTCAAATTCGTCATATAGTACCAGACTTTCCCCAGCTCAGGTTACCTTATTTAAATTCAATTATTGACTTGTATTCATCATGATTTCAACTTTAATTGAAAAATAATTGTGTGTTTTTTAAATTCTTTCGTTATTAAATTTCAAATTCATTAGTACCATAATTTCCCTAGCTAAAGTTACCATATTTGAACTCAATTATTGACTTGTTTTCATCATGATTTCAACTTTCATGTTATCGTTAGGAAAATTTTGCGTGAATGTTATTCAACGTTATTGTAGAGATTGGAGTCTCAGCACGAGTCACAACATACTTAAAAGTTTCGCATGCGAATTCTTGCGGTTTTTTCATGATATTTAGGATCCCTCAACCCTCACCTCGGCATGCATGCATACCATGAACTTCTTCAGCTGTTGTTGATGTTCCTGAGATGCCGGCGGGACTCTTGAAGGCAAATGAGGCGCTGTTTATCAGGGGCTTTTGGTATCGTAGGATCCGTTTTTAATATGGTC